TTGCCAGTGGAGGTGGTAGAGGCAGGCACCATAGCACCACTTAAGATGTATCTAGACAGATACTTGAATGGGCAGGGAGCAGAGGGATACAAATCCCTGGAAAATAGGCGACAGGTTTAGATAGAGGATCTGGATCGGCACAGGCTTGGAGGGCCGAAGGGCCTGTTACTGTGCTGTAATTTTCTTTGTTCTTTGTTCTTTGCAAAGAGTTGAAGTCCCAGCCAGGCCTAACCCCTGTGGCACACCACTCGTAACCTCCTGCCAGCCTGAAAAAGACCCACGTCTTCCTATTGTCTGCTTCCGGCTAGTCAACCAATCCTTTTTCCATGTCAATATATTACCCCTAACACCATGAGCTTTTATTTTCCCCAATAGCCTTTGATGTGGCACCTTTATTTCTTCTTTATTCACTCACAGGATGAGGGCGTCTCTGGCTCGGCAGCATTTATTGTCTAAGCCTAATTGCCCAGAGGGCAGTTAAGAGTCAACCACATTGCTGTGGGTCTGGAGTCACATGTAGGCCAGACCAGGTAAGGATGGCAATTTCCTTCCCTAAAGGACATTAGTGAAACAGATGGGTTTTTTCCCAACAACTGACAATGGATTCAAGGTCATCATTAGATTCTTAATTCCAGATATTTTATGGAATTCAAATTCCACCATCTGCCGTGTCAGGATTCGAACCCGGATCCCCAGAAAATATTATCTGGGTCCCTGGGTTAACAGTCCAGCGATAATACCACAAGGACTTCGCCTCCCCATTATTATGTGGCTGTTATGTCTTTAATAACAGTTTCGAATATTTTCCCAATGACAAACGTTAAGCTAAATGACCTTTAGTTTCCTGCTCTCGGTCTCCCTCATTTTTTTTGAATAAAGGAGTTATATTCAATATTTTCCAATCAAATGGACCCTTCCCTGAGTCCAGTGAGTTTTGGCAAATTAAAACCAATGTATCAACCATCTCACTGGGCATTTTGTTAAAAACCCTGGGATGAAATCCATCATGAGCTGGGGACTTGTTAAACTCCAACAATTTACACTGTACTTCCCGGGTAGAACATAGAACATAGAACATTACAGCGCAGTACAGGCCCTTCGGCCCTTGATGTTGCGCCGACCTGTGAAACCAATCTGAAGCCCATCTAACCTAAACTATTCCATTATCATCCATATGTTTATCCAATGACCATTTAAATGGCCTTAAAGTGGGCGAGTCTACTATTTTTGCAGGCAGGGCATTCCACGCCCTTACTACTCTCTGAGTAAAGAACCTACCTCTGACATCTGTCCTGTATCTATCACCCCTCAATTTAAAGCTATGTCCCCTCGTGCTAGCCATCACCATTTGAGGAAAAAGGCTCCCACTGTCCACCCTATCTAATCCTCTGATCATCTTGTATGTCTCTATCAAGTCACCTCTTAACCTTCTTCTCTCTAACGAAAACAGCCTCAAGACCCTCAGCCTTTCCTCATAAGATCTTCCCTCCATACCAGGCAACATCCTGGTAAATCTCCTCTGCACCCTTTCCAATGTTTCCACATCCTTCCTATAATGCAGTGACCAGAACTGTACGCAATACTCCAAGTGGTAATTGTAACTTTCTTGAGGTCCTCCTTCCCTTTCAATTCCAGTTTGAGGAGTGGCTCGGCAACAGCTCTACTGATCGAACTGGTGGGGTCCTAAAGGACATTGTTGCTTGACTGGGTCTGTGGCAGGTGGTGAGGGAACCATCAAGAGGGAAAAAAATACTTGACCTCATCCTTACTAATCTACCAGCTGCAGTTGCATCTGACCATGACAGTAACGGTAAGAGTGACCATCGCACAGTCCTTGCGGAGACGAAGTCCCACCTTCACATTGAGAATAACCTCCATCGTGTTGTGTGGTACTATCACCGTACTAAATGGGACAGACTTCGCACTGATCTAGCAACTCAAGACTGGGCATCCATTAGGTGCTGTGGGCCATCAACAGCAGCAGAATTGTACTCCAGCACAATCTGTAACCTCATGGCCCGGCATATCCCCCACTCAACCATTACCATCAAGTCAGGGGATCAACTCTGGTACAATGGAAAGTGCAGGAGGGCATGCCAGGAGCAGCACCAGGTATACCTGAAGATGAGGTATCAGCCTGGTGAAGCCACCAAACAGGACTACCTGCACACCAAACAGCGAAAGCAGCAAGTGATAGACAGAGCTAAGTGATCCCACACCCAACGGATCAGATCTAACCTCTGCAATCCTGCCACACCCAGTCGTGAATGGTGGTGAACAATTAAACAATTCACTGGAGGTGGACGCTCCACAAATATCCCCATCCTCAATGTTGGAAGAGCCCAGCACATCAGGGCAAAAGATAAGGCTGAAGCATTCGCAGCAATCTTCAGCCAGAAGTGCCGAGTGGATGATCCATCTCAGCCTCCTCCAGTGGTCCCTAGCATTACAGATACGAGTCTTCAGCCCATTCGATTCACTCCATGTGATATCAAGAAACAGTTGGAGACACTGGATACTGCAGAGGCTACAGGCCCTGACAACATCCCGGTAATGGTACTGAAGACTTGTGCTCCAGAACTTGCTGCTCCCCGAGCCAAGCTGTTCCAGTACAGTTACAACACTGGTATCTATCCAATAATGTGGAAAATTGCCCAGGTGTGTCCTGTACACAAAAAGCAGGACAAATCCAACCCGGCCAATTACCGCCCCATCAGTCTCCTCTCGATCATCAGTAAAGTGATGGAAGGTGTCAGCAACAGCGCTATCAAGCAGCACCTGCTCAGCAATAACCTGCTCAGTGACGCCCAGTTTGGGTTCTGCCAGGGCCACTCAGCTCCTGATCTCATTACAGCCTTGGTTCAAACATGGAATGAATTCTTTGCAGGAGTTCCTCAGGGTAGTGTCCTGGGCCTAACCATCTTCAGCTGCTTCATCAATGACCTTCCTTCCATCATCAGGTCAGAAGTGGGGATGTTCGCCGATGATTGCATAATGTTCAGCACCATTCGTGACTCCTCAGATACTGAAGCAGTCCATGTTCAAACGCAACAAGATCTGGACAATATCCAGGCTTGGGCTGACAAGTGGCAAGTGACATTCACGCCACACAAATGGCAGGCTATGACCATGACAATAAGAGACAATCTAACCACCACCCCTTGACATTCAATGGTGTTACCATCACTGAATCCCCACTATCAACATCCTGGGGGTTACCATTGACCAGAAACTCAACTGGACTCACTACATTAACACAGTGGCTACAAGAGCAGGCCAGAGGCTGGGAATACCGCAGCAAGTAACTCACCTCCTGACTCCTCAAAACCTGTCCACCATCTACAAGGCACAAGTCAGGAGTGTGATGGAATACTCCCCACTTGCCTGGATGAGTGCAGCCCCAACAACATTCAAGAATCTTGACACCATCCAGGACAAAGCAGCCGCTTGATTGGCCCCACATCCACAAATATCCACTCTCTCCACCACCGACGCTCAGTAGCAGCAGTGTGTACTATCTACAAGATGCACTGCAGAAGTTCACCAAAGATCCTCAGACAGCACCTTTCAAACCCACGACCATTTCCATCTAGAAGGACAAGGGCAGCAGATATATGGGAACACCACCCCCTGCACGTTCCCTCCAAGCTACTCACCGTCTTGACTTGGAAATATATTGCCGTTCCTTCACTGTTACTGGGTCAAAATCCTGGAATTCCCTCCCAAAGGGACATTGTGGGTCAACTCACAGCACATAGACTGCAGCCGTTTGAGAAGGCAGCTCACCCCCACCTTCTCATGGGGCAATAAATGTTGGCCCAGCCAGCAATGCCCATGTCCAATGAATCAATAATGAAATCTCTTATTGGCTCCTGGGCAAGTAGACAGCTCGTGTGTGAACAGTGGGGAGGTGGAAGGTTCATATTGCAAGAGTTTGCATCTATTTTTCCTTCTTTCTGCAGTGAAGTAACTAAGAGCTAGCTATTCTCTCCCATCATTTGTCGTAAGCTGTTACGTCTAAAGATAGAGGCACCATCAGAATATGGTGCTCTCTCATTAGAGAGAGATGACTAGTGGTTTAACCTGAAGGTCCCCATGCCTCAGGTGGGGAAGAATCCTTCATTGTAACCTCAGATAACACAGGAATTGAACCCATGCTGTTGGTGTCACCCTGCATTGTTGGCCAGCTATCCAGCCAACTGAGCTAACCAACCCCATGTTACTGCTAATCAGTGGCTGAATAACTAATGTATCAATTGTCCTGTGCCTTCAACAAAGAGTTGAAATAATCTGGAAACAAGTAAATGAGAGGATTTGAAGGAAGTGGAAGAAACCTCACAGCCAGGCATGTGGAGTGGTCCCATGGGTCTGTGTTTGCCCAGTATTCTCCACATTTGTGTCTTTCTGAACACGTGCAGGGGTTTGAGAAGGGGCTCGAAATTTCCTTGCTTCTCTTTGCCACATTTTCATCTCTGCTCCGAATAGTCTGTAATCCTCTTGCTCTTCAATTATTTTTTCTACCTGATACCTGCCATAAACTCACTTTTTTTTAATCTTAATTACTATCTCCTTTGTCATCCTGGGATCTGTGGATTTGTTGGTCCTACCTGTTCCATTTGAGGGAATATATCTTGACTGTACACAGCATCTGTTTTTTGAAATTTCTTCACAAGATTTTCTCACATTAAACTCCATCTACAAGATATTTTGCCCACTCACTTAATGTCTCTACATCTGTCTGAAACCTCCTCATGTCTTTTTCACAATAGGCTTTCCTTGAGGTTCCAGCACAGACCCACAGATTCCACTCACCAATCCTACCCATCAAATAAAGATGCATTGATGTCAACTCTCTGATTTTTGCCAGCAGTCAAACTTCATTCTATCCCAATGTTACCCCTTCACTACATGCTCCTAATTTGCACATTGTCCCCACCTCTCTCTCTATCATGACATGTACATTCTGCCTATCTCAATCAGGAAGCAATATCTTTTCTTACTTTTCTTTCCTGCATTTTCAGATGAACTGTGTTCCACTTGTGGTGTAATGTGTGGAAGCTGTGCTCTGTCTTTGATCTCTTTGAGTCTCCGCAGTCACTGAGGAATTGTTCCATCATTGTGTAAACACTGTCATATGCACACTGCTTGGCTTCCAGCTCTTTATACAGTTCCTGTGAAGAACAAGTCACTGAGAGTGAAGAGCAGTTTTCAGAAATCAGTGTACACCACTGGGAAATAAAATGCAGCGTCAGTAAAAGTGACATAAACCTTGAATTGCCACAACCAGTTTACCCAACCCAAGCCAGAAAAAGAAAGCTGGTATTTCTACACAGTTAATGGGTGATTCTAATCCCAGAATAAGATTGTTGACTATTCTGTCCTATCAAATGAACCCAGTGTGGCACTCAATTTGTATCAAAGTCACAAGTAGTTTTAGCATCTTCATCCCAAAACTCTTGGGGCAGTGAGCACCCCAACACCGAGTACAAGAATGGACAGGTAATGTTTTCATTAGAAATAACCTTCAAAATTCACTTAAAGAAACAGGAACCAAATTAATATGAATTTTAGGGAATGTGGCAGGTCATAGTTCAAACAAGATGGAGAATGTGGGAATTCCAGGAGATCCAGAGACAGAGAACAAAGGGGATTCTGACAAGAGCAGGATCCATGTGGAATGGGAAGTGGTTTGGAAGATTTCACAGGGAATACAATCTTCTGTAGATAGTTGGCACTAGGTAACAATGCTCATTTGTGGGAGTTAAGGAGAGGGGTCCTGATGGTCCTCATGTGGGGATGCAGGCTTGGGACACCAGTGATCGGTGCTTCCATTGGGGATAAGGGTGCAGGGAGATGCCATTAGGATTAGGGGTATAGGGGGCATTCTATTGGGGATGGGGTTTTGGAGATGTTCCATTCAGCATAGGAAGTGTCCACGATGGGTGGGGTGATACAGAAGGATACCTGCTAACTGTAGCCCAGACAAGCCCCTTTTCCTACCTGTAGCCACCTAGGCCACGCTTCTCCTGCTAAACCACATCCCCTCAGCCCTAGATTTCTGTTAAAAGTCTGTGCAAATGAGCCATGATTCTAGACAGTAGAACCACAGAAACGTTTCAGCACAAAAAGCGATTGTTTGGCCCATCTTGTCCATGCCAGCCCAAAAACACCCAGATGCCCTTTCTAATCCCATCTTCCCACAGACGGTCCATAGATGC